AGACAGTGCGATTTGCACAGGACAGAGCAGAGTTTAGGGCTGTTGTACATAGGGTCGCTATGAGTCGCAGGCGACTCGACGGCACATAATAACACAACAACAACAATAACTAAAATCACAAAACAAAATGTGTATGAATAGTTGACAAGAAAACCAAATTGCTCTGTAAACTGCTTAAATCATAATGAAAATAACAAGACAAAAATAAATAAAGCAATGGTGTTAAAAACTGTAGGGGGTTAACACACTACTTTGAAGATTTAATGAAAGCTATCAAAGATTTCTCAAAAAAACCCTACCAGAACATTTCTGGTAGGTTAAATAAATCATAAAGACTACCCAGGAATACCTTTGGCATATAACTCCTGGACCAGAATAATCATTATGATTAGAGATTCTCTGTATAGTGCTTGAAAACATTTTCTTTAGTCAGCATTCTGAAAGGCACTGGGCTTTAAGTGCATTCAAGACTACTCTTCCTGCCAAATACCTGAAATGAGTCTTTTAGGCAGCAAGTTAAATGCAGAGCCATGTGCTTTTAATGATCTGTTGAACTGAAGTAGGGCTTACTGTCTTCAATGAAAACAGAGGAGCTTAGCTTCAAATGGTATGTCACTCCGGTTGGAAGCTTAGGAATACTTAACATAGCCAAGATTTTCCTTGGAAAGAATTCTAGCTGCATTGTCAATATGTAAAAAGGTAAATAAGGGTGGACAGTCAAAACAGTTAAGTTTTTTAGGGCTCTGTTTTGATGAACATAAAATATACACAAACATGTATACACACAAGTGCATTTATCTTGTTTTCAATGAATGACATGTGAGAATAGTTTAATTCAGTGTCATAAAATGGGATTAAAAATCTTTTAGCACAGAAAAAAGTTTAACATACTGCTTGGCCATTAATTTCATTTAATAAAGAATTAAATAAAGCACATCTTGTTTTTCAGCAATCTAAGTTCTGACACATTTGAAATAAATTCGTTTCAATTCTTCATTTCTCTGTAGCAACTCTGGGATAAAGCTTGAACAGGTCAGAATCTGTGTCAGGAGACAATCAGAGAAGGAAAAGCTAAATATTAAACAGAGACCACAAAAAATGGTTAAGACTGCACCGTGTCAAAGGTGGAACGTCAAAAGTCCCAGAAAAAAAGGGAGTGCCTGTGTCACAGAGGACACTGTTCCTATAACTACAGTTCTTGCTATGGTTTCCGAAATTGAGTTAATTATAGGATTTGCTGTAACAACAGTGTATACTAACAGGCTGACAGGACAGAAGTAAAAAGATCAAATGTGTGGAACGAGGATTACCTTTCATACTCCTGCTGTCAGCTAAGAGAACAGGCCTCAGCTGGTTGCTGAGGAGGTTGAGAAACACCTGGTCCAGCTCTGAACCCAGCAAGCAGCCTGGAGTTGTGCCCAGGCTAGGTCAGTCACGACCGGCTGCACCCTAACCTCACATGTGGATGAGAAGTGTTCGGGTTTGCCTGAGTTTGGGCATGACTTCCCGATAATCCTTCCTGTGGTCTCGCTGATCAGCACAGGTTGTAAGTAGCAAAATGTAAATATTCAAAACGAAATCACTGTAATCTGGAAGCAGGAGTGGCATCCACTTCCGGAAACTCTGTGAACAGTCCTCAGGCCTTCCATTCGCAGGGTCACTATGAGCCGTCTATGACTCGACGGCACCTAACAATAACAACAACAACAAAATCACTACAAACCACTTAAGAGTTAAAATGCTGAGGCTGAATTTTCCTGTTTCCTTGAAAGACGGTAAAAGAACAGTAAACTAGCAATTCTGCTCTACTATTTAACTATTTTACTGATATGTTTCAGACTGTTTTCCATCTTCAAGACTTAAGCTTCAATAGCTCTGTGGTACACTAAGGACTGGGTAGTAGGAGTGAAGGTCCTGGTGGGTGATATTATTTTGAAAAGCTGGTGGGCAATTCTAAATAGTGAAAAGCAGAGTTATCATTGGCTTTCTTACAGTTTCTAAGTTCACTATGCAGTCTGTACCTATTTCTTTCTTCGCCTGAGATGCTCTGCCCCTACTGCTACCATCCCTAGCCCCTTGATGAGCGGCTGAGCTGCTCACAATTATTTCATATTCATACTCAGTGCTCTCGAGGGGAAGAGACTCCTATCAGACCCGCAGTGGGCTTCTGAGGCTGTAAATCACACAGGAGGAGACTGTCCATCTTTTCTCCATGTGGCAGCAGGTGGACTTGAACCGGCAGACAGGCACAGCGTTTGGGTTAACAGCGCCACTCCCTACAGAGTACGCCCCTGTGGCTCCCTCAGAGTTACGGAGAACACGGAATTAAAAAACGGAATGTCAAAACATAACTTTTCCAAATATCTGAGCTAAACACAGAAAGCTTTGGTGGTACTAGAAGTTCATTATTTTATGAATATTAAAAGCTTGATAAATGTTCGTAAGAGTGGAAAAATTCAGTCCTTCAAATGAAAACCAAACTGACACCATTAACAGAGAGCCATTCAACCACACTGGTGTTTTTTCACTCTTTAAACACATTAACACCAGACACCATCCTGACCCAAATCCCATTTTCAATGGATGAACTTCTTCATTTATTAATCTAACAGTGCAATAGACTGTAGATCTAGAAATCTACTTAAATTACAACTTTATAATAAGTTAACATGTAAGTCAAAGTTATAATCTTATACACTTTGTTATGCAATACATGAACAACTTCTGAAGTTCCGAAACTAACTCAGTGGATATTTAAATTACATTAAATTGAAGCTGCAGCTGAGATGGTATTTTTGATATATTTGAAACAGTATGTATTATAAATCAAAATATATACTCTCAGTTGTATATTTTGGAAGAGCCCTAGAAGCACAGTAAATAACGTATCCAGCTGCTGATCATGAGGTCTGTGGTTCAAATCCACCAGGCACCCTGAGGGGAAACAATGTGCTGCCCCTTCCCTTAAAGATGTACATCTTGGGAGATCTGATGGAGGCTGCTATGTGCTGGCAATGACTCCTCAGCAGAAAGTCTGAGGTTCTGCTAAGTCACATATATTGTTGTTGTTATGTGCCGTCGAGTCGTTTGCGACTCATAGCGACCCTATGCACAACAGCCCTAAACCCTGCTCTATCCTGCGCCAACCGCACTGCCTG